TATATATATATATATATATATAGAGAGAGAGAGAGAGGGATACCTGTAATTGTCTGTAATCTAGTCTGTTTATAGCATTATTCAGTAAGTCACCACCACTTGTCATGAGACATTATGCATCCATATATATGGTAGTGAAGTAGGAGTTTGTGCTTTCCCTTTGAAACCTGTATGATACTTTTGCATTGTGAATTTGGAATTTGAAACATTTATGGTTCATAGGTAACAAGATCTTAGCAATTTTATGTTTGCTAGCAGAAATATTACCCTACAACCCTACAGGCAGATGTTTGTGCTAGTAATTAGTAGTTGTAGTATTCATACCTCATTGTAAGAAATTGTAAGAAAAGTGAACATTTTTTATAAAAGTATTTTTTTCTGGGAAATACTGCACAGGAAAAGCATTTGGATTGTGTTCTTTTGATCATACACAACTCACTGCTTAAAATGATTCAATGTATAGAGCTAAAAATTTTCATAAGCACTACTAATATAAACTTTATTGTAAAAGTAGAATGGAATAGAGGGAGTCACATGTGTCATTAGAGAATGTCACACTCGTATTGGTGGAGGGTTGATGCATGATGATTTGCATGGGAGATGCTTGTGGTATGTGTAAATAACTTTTTGCATAAGAGGGCAGCACCTAATGGTAATACATTATTAATCACCGATTGTATTCACTGTTAAATATAAGCAAAATCCTTAACAGTATATTCTACTTATATATGTGTGTATTTTGTGGTTGGAAGTGGATTTTGTAGCATTTTGTCTCATGGGACAAGTAGTTTTTTTGTTTTTTTTTTATAGAATTTCACACCCCTACCCTATAGATCTTGGTTAGAAAATAGGAAACATTAATGATATCTTCTTGGGATCTGTACAAGTGTTTTCCAGTAAGTGAGTGGAAAAAGTGTAGTTACCTGTAGAGCTATTAACTCTTTCAGCTGTGTCAGTGTAAATTACTTGTACCTGATGATGACAAAACCTTGTCGAAATGTTGTATATTTGCTGTTACGTTAAACATTATATTAAAGTTTTTATTCATTACCCAATCAAGCCGTCTCCAAGCATTATTAGTTTCAAAGTGGGTTCCTCATCATCGAATATTCTGCATTTGATTTGTGGTTCTCATGTGGGTTGTTTCTGGAGGCTGGATTTACTTAGTTATTAATTACATCTTCTATTTTCTGTAATTCACTTTATGATAAAGATTAGATTTTGTCATAAATTTTTAATGTGTATTAAGTTAGTTTCTCATAAGTTGCATTTCAAATGTAGTATCAACTTTTTGCTTTTGAATGATAAAAACATATTTCAAGTGTTTTGGAAAATATAATGTAAATAGCAACAATAGTTTTTCTTTAGTCAAAATGTTTTGTACAAAAAGATATATTTCAATTTTCAAGAAATATATTTCTAGAAACTATTGAATCTTATGACAGAGCTACTGCATGTTAATGTAAGATTCTTCAAATGGTGCATTTGAATTGAATAATAAAATTAGGTTCTTTTTATTATATAGATTCTTGAAGATTTTATAGGAGAGTTTTTTGACCAAAATCCAATTAGTCAACTTGGAATCATTATCACCAGAAGTAAACGTGCTGAAATCCTTATGGAGCTAAGTGGTATGTTTTTTGTATTGGTATTCATTGTATTGGAAAAGTTTGAGTAATTATTATGTAATTCTGACTAAATAGTAAACAGTGATTCAGACTTCACTGATATTGTTACATTTTACATTTTTTACATTCTCATGGTTTATATTTACTATTGATCATGTCTTTGAATTATGTTTTTTATGCTTCATTTCCTTAAGTTATGTTTTGTGATCAAGTTGGGTTTTCAATTAGTATCTTGTGTTATTTTTTCCTACTTATTTGAGTTAATATTTTTAGTTAAGTTGGAAGTTAGTATTTTTATCCTTTCTTAAGCCTTTAGTTTCTTATACTTTTAAGTTTTTTAATACAGCTTTTTGAATGTCTGCAACAAGAGTTTCTGTAATTAAAAACTGAGCATTTTTCTGTTTTGAAGTGATTCAGACACTTTTGTCTGATGATGCTTATGTTCAGTGTTTTCTCTCATTATCTTTCATAATTTGATTTGCTGTTCTGTAAACATGGACTGTTTTTTCTGTTGATCTTCAAGATTTCACCTTTTTTGTTGACTGTGAAAATAAGTATCTATCCTTCAGTTTTTTGCATTAATATGGATACTTGTTAGTGTGTGTGTGTGTGTGTATATATATTGGTATACTTTGGTGACAGATTTTCTTGCAGGCAGATTTTGTTAAACAAGACCGATGTCTGTAGGTTTACTTTCGTCTTAGAATTCTTCTCAAGAAGTCGATAAGCCGTCTTAACGTTGTTAGAACGTTATATATATAT